CACACACACACACACACACACACACACACACACACACACACACACACCTACCTAACTGCCTTCAGAATTTTCAGGTTTCCAAGGCAACAGTTTCCCAGTGGAGAGTTCTCTATAGACTAGTGCTCTCTGATTAGAAATAGAGAGGCTTCTAGGGCAGAGGGATTCTAGTCCTACTCTTTTTCCTAACCACCATTGTCCTGTAGGAGGGGGTGGAATAGGCAGTCCATTATGGAGCCTTGTACTCAAAGCTTGGTGAGACTTTGAGTTTCTTCTGTGATAGCTAGTCTTGATTTCCCCATAAATACTGAAAAGCTCACAATCACTAGTTTTCTGTGGCGGCTTTGCTGACCCCTCCCTATTTATTTTCCCCATCCATCTTCCTCCTACCGTTCTTATGTGACCAAATGGACCTTGGCAGGCTGAACTAAAACTGCCTCTTGAAGCCCTCTGGAGAGCATTATTCCCTTTTTGCCCCTCTTGTCAGGCAGCATCCCTGAGCTGTTGGGTGCCAGCCTTTCCTCTCCACCTCTGCCACCAGTCCTTGACTCAACTCTGTGCAGCTGTTCCCTCTGTGCACCAGGACAGAAGATGCATTTTCCCAAAAGACTCTCTTAGAGATTAAGAGAAATGAGATAATTCAAAAACAAATCGACCCAACACAAAACTGTTTCATCACAAAGGATGGAGATCGTACCCTGGCATATTCCTAACCTGGCCCTAGAGGATTTGCCTGGTACCGTGGGTTAACTGTCTGGTGGGGAAATTTTTCCAATAATTACACCTCTTCCAGTGGAAAGGGCTATTTTTTGAGGTAGTGAACCCTCAGTCACCAGAAAGGCTCAGGCACAGGGTGGATAAATAGGTGCCATTTACATAGCATTCGAATGTTTGCAAAGCACTTTACATGTCATTTGATCTTCACAATCCTGTGCAGTAGAAGATATTATCATCCCCATTTTACAGATGAGGAAACTGAGGCTGAGGGAGGTTAAGTGGTTTGCTCCCCCAGGGTTACACAGCTACCACCTCATGCAGAATTTATACTCAGGTCGTTCTGAACACAAATACAGCACTCTATATCCACTATGCCAACTACTGCTTGTGTGTGCATGCACACATGCACCCATGCATACATATACACAATGCAATAAATGCTTGGTGACTCACACACATGTGTAAATAATAGTAAGTTAATTCAAAATATGTTGGAAAGAACAGATGGTGTACAGTCAGAGGACCCCCACCTTCCAGACTGCAAATATGACATGCTTGCTGCTTCTAACCACCTGTAGGTATGTAGTAGAAAGGAGTCCCTACACTGGTTAGGAAGTTAGACTAGGTGACACCTGAACTTCTGTCTAACTTTCAGGTTCTTTCATAAAAGGCAGTGAGGTATAATGGTCTTAGAATCAGAAGATCTGGGTTCAAGTCTTGCCTTTGGTATTTAACTACAGACTCTAGGTGAGTCATTTAACTTCTCCTCACCTTCAAAATGGGAATAATGCTTCAATTTTAAAAAAAATTATTAAGCACCTACTGTATACAGTAGAGAGAGTGAAATATGGGGAAATGTAAAGATGAAATCCTTGCCTCCCTTACAGGACTGTTGTGAAGGAAACACCTTGTAAACCTCACTGCCCTCTGGAATATTGTATAAACACAAGTTAGTGTTTTTAATGTCTTTTCAGCTCTTTCTTGGGCTAACATTGCCCTCTATGATCTTCCTCAGGTAGTGCAACTTCTGTCCTGGGTGCCTAGTAAGCAAGCATCTAAGGGAGGGAAGCAGAAGCCTGAGACTCCGGCTCCTTTCTGTCCAAACCTGCTAAAGGCCTGGGATGTCCTGGGGGCAGAATCGATGCTCACCTACTCATCACTGGCACGCCAGCTGGCATTGAGCAAGTGTTTTCTCAGGTCTTCCCTGGCCCTCTCTCCATCCCTGTGCCACCCTGGGCCTTGCTTCCATCATTCATCACCTGCTCTTCTCTTGGGCCCCCAAACCCCACTTGGCTCCTCTCTCTGCCTCTGACCTTCTAGGACCATAGAATTCTGGGACACAGAGCTCGCAGGACCCTGAGAGATCATCTAATCCCACCCCTTCATTTTTCAGAAGAGGAAACTGAGATCCAGAGAAGGCAATTGACTTGTGCAAAGTCACCCAGGGAGTAAGCAGCAAGGACAAGATTTGAACCCAGGTTGTCTGACCAGATTCAGTGATCTTTTCACTGCACCATGGTTGTCTTATAGGTCTGTAGTGGTTATAGAGGAAGAGTAGAAATATAGTCCCTCTTTCCCAGTTCCCTTTTCATCCCTAATAAAAAAGCCTCTGGTCTATGGAGAGCTTTGGGAGCTGTATTGGGAAACTGAGAATTTTGGAGGCAGTTAAGGCTCTTCTGAGAGAAGAGTTGAGCTAGTAACATTCACTGAGCACTTGCTATGTGCAAAGAGTTAGCCTGGGCCTTCTGGAGGATGGAATGGGGGATACAGGATTCCAAGGGAAGAGTCTCATTTCCAGCCCTCCCCTCCACAAGCTCCCTGGCTGGTAGGAAAGACAAGGCCCACAGGACACAGACCCAGAAGCCCTAATCAAAATTAATAAGTGTTGAGGTAATGTAGAACACTGGTGTCAAACTAATAGAAATGATCCCTGTAGGTTGCATATTGACTTAGACAACCACAAATTAACATTATATTGTATTGTATTTTTATATATTTTGTTAAACATTTCCCAGTTACATTTCAGGCTGGTTTGGAGCACAAGGATTTTATAGGTGCTGCTCCTGAGAGTCTGAAACTTCTGGTGAAGAGGAGAAGAGAGGAGAGGACAGAAGAGGAGAAGGGGGAGAGAGAAAGAGATGAGAGAGAGAGAGAGAGAGACAGAGAGAGAGAGAGAGAGAGAGAGAGGTATATATGTTGGGGGGGGTAGCTAGGTGGTGCAGCGGATAAAGTGCTGGACCTGGAGTTACGAAGACTCATCTTTCTGAGTTAAAATCCAGGCCTCAGATACTTACTAGCTATATGACCCTGGGCAAGTTACTTAACCCTGTTTGCCTCAGTTTCCTTATATGTAAAATGATCTGGAGAAGGAAATGGCAAACCACTCCAGTATCCTTGCCAAGAAAGCCCCAAATGGGGTCACAATGTTGGACACAACTGAAAAGACTGAACAACAAAGTGTGTGTGTGTGTCTGTGTGTGTGTGTGTGTGTGTGTGTTCATGTGTATTAGAAGAATTGGGGAATCAGGGAAGGTTTCCTGGAGGAAAAGAACTCAGAGTCAGACAAGATAGTTGAGAGCTGGAGAATATCTTTAGACTTCATCTAGTCTAATTCCTTTATTTTACATGGGAGGATGCTGAGGCCCAGAGAGAATGTGATTTGTCCAAGATCACACAGCTATTGTAGAACCATGATGGGAACCTGGGTATTCTGACTCCATCCAAATCTTTTTCTAATATGCCACATGGGGTCTGAGAAAAAGAAAGGGACAGGAGAGTTTGTTTGAAAATCTTAAAGCAACCCTCAGAAATTTTACCAGGTGGAATCCAACTTTTCTTTGGTCAGCTGTTTCCCTTGTCCCACACCCAGTGATGTGCCACCTCCTCATGCCTTCAGCTGTGGCAAATGATGGGGCAGGATGATAAACACTCTCCAATGAGAGCCACCTCATATTTGCCTCTGGCCAATCCTACCGCCACCACCCAAGGAATGGGAGATTTTGTCTTTAGACCAGGAATAACCTGGACCCTTTATCTTTTCCTGTAGCTCCCTTCTGCCATGAGTCATCAATGTCCCATTATGATCTCAGACAGACATTTAGAAGGAAAGGTCTACTTTATTACAGTGTCAGGCATTGTGGGAGTTTGAAAGAGTATAAACTATATCCCAATAGGTAAATTACAGATACTTAGCTGAGTCACAGATGCTGCGTGGCAGAGTTTAAAACACCCAAGCTTGGCTTTTTCTGTTACAAAACATGTCACCAGCCCAGTCAGCGAAATTCCTCTGGCCTGACCACCTCTGAACCTGAGTCCTTGACAATTTCAGGTCCTTTTCTGGCTTGGCCCCAGATGAGATGCCCAATTCCATAATGAAATTCCATGCATTGCAGACCCTTGAACTCAGATAATTGTTCTACCTTTCTGA